ATAGCACTATAGTTTGATTATGGGGGAAAAATACATACACAACAAACGACCGTACGCTGCTGGTCTGCTCATAAAATATGATCTGAAGTTGTAAAAGGTATACTTGTATTTTGGAGTTGTGCTGCTGATCGATGCATAAAACATAACGTACGGAACATTCCTCGACCGGTCGCAAAAGTACATGCTAAATAATTGGAACTACTTTCTCCAATCGTATTTGTTTATTATTTGTTGTTTTTTTTTACCAGCAATATTATTTGTTGTTTTCAGCTGGTTACTGGTTGGTATTTAACTAGTAATTGACCAATCTATGCCGCGCCATACAAAAAAGAGATAATTAATATGTCGCACTCACGCCATGTGGCTTCGCGGACTGCTGGTAATTAACGTACGTTATTTTTTCCGCCCCCCAACACAATGTGTCTTCGTGGACTTCTATTTGTTCCAGTTTAAATAGAGGCTTTTGAATTCTATTTCTCATCCCTTCTGCCCTTTATCAGAACACCCAAATTCATTTGTCTCTTCCGGTTCTCTTCAGCTTTCAAGATCTCTCTCTCTCTAAGTCTGATCTTTGTTCTCACACTAACATGTCAAAAACAACATCCATAGGTGACACAAGAACTGAGTTGTGGATAACTCGGGTTGGCTCGGCTCTACGGACCACCTTGGCATGCACCATAGTGGGTTGCACCGCCCTGTACGGCCCGGCAAAGCTCCAGCAATATATCCAGTTCCCGGCTTTCTCTTATGTGACGACAATCCTCGTAGTGTCGGATGCAAACCTGGGTGACACCATCAGAGGTTGCTGGCATGTGTTTTGTGCTACCCTTCAGGTCATGATCCTGTCCATCGTTGGGCTGCAGGTGGTGGGACCTGCCCACTTTACAAGCCGAGTGGCGGCAGCCGCGGTGGCGGCGAGCTCATTCATGGTGGCTGTGCCGGAGGCGACACCCTTGCTGACTAAGAGAATCGCATTTGGGCAGCTAGTGATTGTGTACGTGAGCACGGTGATACATGGCGCAGAAGGTGGAGTTTTAACGCATCCAATTCATGTCGCTGCAAGTACCGCCCTTGGAGCTTTGGCTTCTGTCTTAGCCCTGTTACTTCCATTTCCTCGACTAGCTCATTTTCAGGTATCACGTCACTCTCTTTTATGCTTCTAATTCTGCAACTTATGATAACCTCCCTATAATGGAATGTGTTCGCGTAGTTACAACAGTATTCATGCTGTCATTATGAGTCGAAGTGTCCGTGCCTTTTTATTTTAGAGGGACTTGATTATTTCATTTACGCTTAAATTCTCGTCAATCCAACTTTTGAGACTCAATAATTATTCGGTAATGTTTCGTAGGCCCTCAGAAAAAATCTTAATACTAGAGGCGAAAATTGCAATTTCTTTTTTGTTTTGGGAGTGATATTATCGAGAGATCTAACCATTTTTTGGGTTAACGATCAAATATCTAGAATTTTTAGTTTTAAAAGTGTTTTCATGGTATAACAAAATAAACATGTAGAGGAATTCATCTCAATTTATAAAAAAATATTTTAAAAAAATGATTTTAAGATTACCCAAACACCCATTTAGCCTATAATGGTAATGGGAGAACCAGCACCCTGTTGGTTTCTAAAGTCTTAGACATGTGTCCACGTGAGAAGAGAGATGTTTCGGTGGGGAGTTTGGGAAATGATGGACTTGGCCATCATTTAGCGTCAAGAGGCACCAATTAAACGGACAGGAAACTAGTCCAATGATGAAACGAAAGCAACTTTGACTCGTTCTTAACATTAAAATAATCTTTTTGGCTAACAAATATTCAAATAATCTTTTGGTCATTAGCCTGCTATATATGCTTTCGAAAAATGACAGAAATCGTTATCAACGTCATCAGTTTTAATAATTTTTAATCGATCTAACCCCGATCCATTTCCAAGTGTAACTTTTAATTTGTCCCAAGAAAACCCTTTAACTGATCCAGAAAGCAACTTCCGACGATTTGATGTTCAATATTATCTTGTGATTGCGTGTGTCTGTGTGCGAGAGAGTGAGGAGAGGAGGTAAACATAAAGCAAATTTACAACCTAAAAACCACCAATCACAATCCACAGAGTTATATTCCGCAAGCTGATAACTTCAGTTTCTTGTTTTGAAAGAAAATTGAATAATCTGTGGAGACATCTTTAGCAGCTTTTACACAAGTTTACCTGATATTGATTCTAATGCCGCACAAATATGTAACATTATTTTAATACAACAACCTATGCTATATGAAGTGAGCCGATAATATAAGTTTAGGTTTGAGCCTGCCTGAGTGGCCTGCATTAGTACTGCATTTTGATGAACAAAATGAAAGAATGAACACTGTACAGTCTGTTGGGAGATGATGGGAACCAAAAAAGGACTGATGCAAATGATAATGATTTCTATTCGCAAAATGGCAAAAATGGGGACCCACCATAATCTGACCTCTCCATGCGTTATTGCCTTCCACAGCTGCCCAATCACCTCCAATTCTTCCCACATCTAACACATGTCCTTTACATTTAAAGAGTAGGGTCCTCTATCCTCTGAAGTCAGGACCTCCGTTATATGCTTGCACTTCGAAGAATCTACTGCACTAACAATAATCCTTGGTTCCATTCACATATCAATTTTCTGGCTTTCAGGTAAAAAGGGCATTCCGATTATACGCTGAGAATGCTTCTGAGAGGTTTAATCACAATTTAGAGGCTATCTCTGCATCAGACAACTCAACTGGTCATGACTTGTGCACTCAATCTAAGTCCCTGTCTAAAGTAGGAGCCAAGCTTCTCCAGTGGATCAAGAGTAACATGGTAAGCTAACATTGTCGTAAAAACAAAAGACACATACTTTTCCCTTAGGCAATTCAATTTGAGGTAAATGCTTCTTATGTTCATTACAGGATGGTATGCCTTGGGAAAGGCCTCGAATGAGAAACTTCTATGACAAACTACAAGACAAGGAGATACCATTACGAGGAATGGAAATTGCTCTCTCAAGTTGCACTTCATTTCCCGTTAGCTCATTGATGAGGAGCTCAGGGGTGTTTTGCTCGACTACAGAGGACGATTCAGCCTCAAATTAAATAAACAAGCTTCGTGTTTTGCTTCTTTTGATGCAACCACAGCCCCAGAAAGCAAGAAGAACAAAGAAAACTTCAACAGTTTCCCATGGCCTCTGAAGAATTTATCCGTAGTATACGAACACCTCCCAACTTCATTCTTCCTGTACTGTGTTCAACTCCTGATAGAGGACACCCCTATTGCGACGAACACCAACCTCATGGAAGAGAAAACCCAGAAAACCGACGCCGACCAGCATGGAATCCTCAAGAGGATCAGAGAGGAGAGTTATTATTAACATGCTACCCAGTCGACAGAATCTGACTTTTGCAGTCAAGTGCTCAGTTTCTTTGGGACTTGCTGTGTTCTTTGGTTTGTTATATGACAAAGAGCATGCATTTTGGTCAGGACTTACAATTGCCATAAGTTTTGTCACTACAAGACAGCCAACATTCTCAGTTGCTAATGCTCGAGGACAAGGAACAGCAATGGGATCGATCTACGGCGTCATTTGTAGCTTTCTGTTCCACAGATTTGGGGGCTTCAGCTTATTGCCTCTTCTGCCGTGGGTCGTTTTCTCTTCCTTGTTGATGCATAGTAAAATGTACGGCCAAGCTGGTGGAATTTCAGCAGTTATAGGCGCCCTTCTAATTCTTGGAAGAAAGAACTATGGCCCTCCTGCAGAGTTTGCAATTGCTCGAATCGCCGAGGCTACGATTGGACTCACCTGTTTCATAGTCGTAGAGATTATTTTTAACCCTCGGAGAGGGACAAGTCTCGCAAAATCTGAACTTTCCCACACCCTCGGGACACTTCAAGATTGCATCGAAACTATTGCTATTGCTTCTAGCGATAAGCAAAAGACAGCATGGAACAACTCTCAAGAACTGCGAACGAGACAAAAGAACGTCAAGTCTATTACGTGTCAATTACAAGAGTTCATAGAGGAGGCCGAGTTGGAGCCAAATTTCTGGTTTCTTGCCTTTCATGGGGCTTGCTATAGGAAGATTCTGGATTCCTTATCAACCATGACAGATCTCTTACTTTTCGTGGCACACTCGACAGAAAATGTCTCAAGATTGTCACTGAGAGAAGGAGTAACGTCGGTGCAGCTACAAGATAGAGTGAATGAGGTCATAGAACTTTCCAAGGCCAAGGTTGGCCCCACCCTGAAATGCCTTGGGGAGATAACCCGCATTAAGTCCCTCAGCAAACTGGAACAAAAGTGGAAGAAAAGAAATCGCAGCAGAGACATCGAATCAGGAGAATATCCCAAAGCAGATACGATTACGATCCTGCGGGGTCATGAAGAGGCTGAAAGCTTTGCTTCCTCTTTCCTACAACATTTGGAGGAGATGGCTGATGCAGTTCATTCCAACTCATCCAATGAGGAGGCTACTAGAGGCCAAATCATGGCTCATTACTATTGCTTGGGATTCTGCATCAGCGGCTTGATCAGAGAAACAATGCAGATTCAGAATGAAGTAAAGGAGTTAGTGATGTGGGAGAATCCCTCGAGTGATTCACGCCTCACTGAAATTTATTGCAAGATCAATGCTCTACGTTCGTCATAAATTTTAGCCCAATAACGTGTATTTGCCATACTAACTAACCAATTAGATGTACAAGACATTATCACAAAAAATATAAAATCTATAGCGGACAGTATATGATTCATTTTTTGAACTTTCTGTAAGATGCATGATCATATCCGGTTCAAAATCATTTGAAGTGCAACTCCAATAGCTGAATATTTGTGGCCCAGAAATGGAACATATTATCGCAGTCAGTTATGCGGAGTGGAATGGATAAAATGTGGAATTCCAGAGAAAAAGAAAGTTATGAACCATATGTTGCACTTAATTGATTGCATCGAGAACTAAAACTAAGCTAACAATATCCTCTGACCACACACCAAGTCGAACATATTAATTATTTTGATTGAATCAGATTTTCCTCAACCCTCAGCAAGACCTGGTGTTGGAAGCACACAGATATATCGCAAGAATTAGTGAACGAACTTGTAGTGTTTATAAAAGTTATAGCAGTAAGATAGCATTCACATTCCCAAACTTAAGTTCTTAACTAATACCAACTCAATGTCTACCTTCCAAACCACTCAGAATCTATGAGTATTACACTTCAAAGGGGTCCTAGTTTCCTTCATACTTGGGATCGGCCATGACATAGTGGTACGCTATTACCAGAACAAAAATAAAAATGCCAAGAAAATTGGCAAAGAATCCCAGATCTTGATCATCCATCATCTGTCATCACACGCAACAAGCATAATATGTCAGTACCCAATACGTAATTTGTTTAGCATAATTTGGCACCACATAACTCGAATGCTTGAAAATCGAAGTTGCAGAAATTATTCATGAACTCAGTGCTCACGCGTTAGTCCCGGTCCCGGTCGGGACAGGGATCCCGCCATTCAGAAAACAACCAACAAAGTTTTACCTATGACTTGTTTGGAAGACTTGTGTGGAATAGAAGAAAAGCAAATGAGTAGCTAGAAAAATATGTACAAGAATCAGTGCCATCAGACTTCACTAAATGAATCTCGTTCTTCAAGCTAGGCATGGCATAAAGCAAAACCAAATAAAAACATGCATTTGATTAATACAGGGGAGCGAAAAATTCTTCCATTCTAAAACCAAATTCCTAACTCCCTGGCACAACATCTAACAACTGATCATTACTTGAGCACCTGAGTGAGAGAAAATAGAGGCAGTCACAGTCACAAAACCGCTAAAAAAACAAGAAGAAGAGATCGAGAAAGGAGAGGAAAAGAGAAGTCAGACGGAACAATAGCAACCACGAAAAACCTGAAACCCACTCCGATCTAAAGATTGAAATAGTCTAATAGCAAGAGACGAGTGCAAGAAGAATCAAAACGCAGAATAAGTCTCAGCATCGAAAATCTCTTACATAAATTTAATTATAAGACGTGAAGAACAGTGCCACATCTAAAAAAATCAACGAAAAAAATCAATGAAGGCATCGGATTTAGAGTTTTCAACAAAAGGCAAATCCAATTATAAGTATTCAAGAAAAATAAAATTTGAGACTGGTCGTACCCTGTGATGTAGTAAATCCGTTTCGGTTTCTCTTCGTCGAAGCGAGGTTCTGCAATCCTTGGTCACTCCTGCGCCTGCGCGGGCTCGTGATCGTCAGTAGCTTTTCCAATGTGCAAACTTCATAAATAGTGGACAAGAAGTCAACAATCCCCATTGCAACCCAATGCTTAAAACCCAGCGGTTTGGTCCAATTACAAACTAACTTACTCAAAAGTGGCCCAATAGAAACAAGGAACGAGTCTTTGTTGGAAGCCCTATTGTTTGCTAACAATTTCGGTAAGTGTCTTGAGCCTAACAAAGAGGTTAATTTTTATAATGTAACCAATCAAGATTTAAATCTTTTGATGAGGGAGATACTTAGTGTCATATAGTGCGTATTTAATAAAATTGCTTCTATACTTGAAAAAAAAAAATTTCTGTGCCCATGCCTAGTTTTGAGCGGTTTTATTTTATTTATTTATTTTTAACATTCTGGGTGGCGGGGAAGGAGGGCTCGAACAACGAAGCAGGGGGCGTGAATTCTTGTCAAATTTTACCTTCTGATACAAGCAATTTCATTTTTTCTTCTGCTCCCCCACTCGTGATTACTCTCATTTCCATTCCAGTGCTCCTCCTCCTTTCCCACATCAACGCAGCCAGCCTCCGTCGATCTCACCAGCTGCCACTGCCTCCGCTGTCGCCGCCTCCTTCTTCTCTCCTCTCACAAAGCTGTGGTCGCTATCTCATCTGCCGTCGAGCCCCCTTGGCCATAAACCTCCGCCGCTCAACCTCTCACTTAGAGACCAGATCTCTCCATTCGAATCGAGCTCAATGCCGTCTTACACACACACTCATTCAGTCTCTCACTCCGTCTCAGTCACACTCACCCTCGAATCGACCTCGACTGCATAGCACGTCTCAGTCAGCATCTGTGCATTGCGTGAGCTCTAGTCCTCGGATTGATCTCTCCAGGTTCACCAACGAGCTGTGTTATCCTACCCTCTTGTTTTGGATGTATGTAAGTTCAGTTCGATGTTATTCTTGCTCTCTTGTTTTAGCTGTGCTTGAAATTGCAAATGATTATTCTGTTGAAGATGAAGCTTTTGTAATCGATTAACCTGTATTTTTGACTTGATGGTTCTATGTTCCCAATTTCCATGTCTCAGTGTGTTTTTCATATTCATGAATTCAAGCCTTCATCTATTCATCAATGTAAATGGGCTGCCGGTACCCGCTCAAACCCGCCCGGCTTTACCCCATCGTGTTTAGTATGGGCTTAAACTGGTTATTTACGGGTATGGACTAGCCCGTGCCCGTGTAAAGTTGTAACTTAAATCTGGAAGTTGTAACTAATTATACTTTTCTCCACTGTTTTAATAATATATTGGGTACTTGAGATTATTAAAGTGTGTCCAAACACTCCAATGTGATAACTAGAAGATTATGTTTGAAGTTGAAATTTTTAGAACTTTGATTGAGGCTGCTATTGGTTCTGAAACAGTGTTTCAAGTTATTTAAATGCTGTAATAGAAAAGTTATTGAAAGTTATAGGAGTTTATGAGTCACTGTAGGTTCAATTTTGTTTGAGGGAAAATGGTTTTGAAATCTGAAATTAATTTCCAGATTATGGAAGGGTGTTTGTGCGTGATTTGGTGCTGATATGTACTGGGCATTGCTAGTTATTAGAATATGTTTTAAAGCACCAAAATAAATGCTGAAACAATGCTATCCAAGATGGAATAATTTTAGAAAGTTGGAATTTCCAGATTTAAAGCATGGGCCGTGTGAAGCTTATGTATGTTAAGTGTATGTTTTAAGTGCCAATAAATATAGATAGGAATATGGCTATGTGTGTGTGCCTGTGTGGTGATGATAGACCATAAGGTTGAATGGTTAAAGCAATAAGTATGTTGTTGTTTAATGTCATTTAGAGTTGATGAGTTAGTAAACTATATAACCTATGATTAGGGACACAAGTGAGGAATAAGTTAAGGTTATGAGGTTGGGAAATTTTCAGATTTGGAAGAGAAGTTAGATAATGGTTTTAAGTGTTTAAGCTATTCAAGAAAGTAGAAAAGAATTTAAAAATAAGAGATAAGATAAAGGGGGTAAAGCCAAGACTCAAGTTAATGGAAGGTTGCTTTTGATATGGGTTATGCATATGTAAATATAGATGTGTGTGTATGTGTGTGTTAGAGTGTGAGGATTAGAAAAGGGAAGACATTCTTCCAAATGTCTTCAAATATGATAATAAAAATTATGTTTTTTGCCCAAGATGAAGTCAAATATAATATAATGATAACTCAGGTGAATGTTAGAAGTGCATGGTGAGTTTGAAGATTTAATGTTTAAGGTGCTTGGAAAGTTGCTGTCCAAATTTTAAGAGAGTAATGATACATGAATTTGAGATGTGGATAGGGTTTTGAAGCTCAGTGAAGTTATTTTAGGGAGAGTTTTAATTGGTTACCATGTGTAGGTGTCTAAATTTTTAGGAGTTGTTAAGTTAGAATGAATGAAAGTGATTAAACGTATTAAAGGTGCTTGGAAATATATAAAAAAGGATCAAGAGTCAAACAAAAAGTTAAGAAATGGGATTTGAAGTTTTGTGATCATTAAGAGGGAAATACTTACTGTTTTAATGCTTAGGAATGGAAGTGATATTAAATGATGTTTAGGATTTAATAAATTATAGATACACACAAATTAAAAGAATTTTAATGGTTAGAAATTTAGGATTAAAGTGCTGTGATAATGATTCTCAAAGTTGGAAAATAATTTCCAGATTTGATATTAATGGCTAACAACAATTATTTTAAATATAGAATGATATTTAAAGTGCTATTGGCGTGGATAGTCAATGACAAGAATTCAATCTTAAAGCTTAATTCATGAAATTGGAATTTGATAAAGAAGGGGTGTGTGTGTGTGTGTGTGTACAAGCAGCAAGGCTGTAAGGGATAAGAAAAGGAAAGACATGGGTGTGTGTGTGTGTGTGTGTGTGTGTACAAGTAGCAAGGCTGTAAGGAATAAGAAAAGGAAAGACATTATGCGGGACCACTCTTTAGCTTCACATTTTGACCATTAACCTTTGCTCCTTGCACTGCCTGTGATTTTGTAATAGCATTAGTTTTTTAATTTTCAATGGCATGCTCTATCACGTTGTTTGCATGAGAAATTAAATCCGTCTGTTTGATCATTGCTTTTCTATTATTCTGTATTAACCAAACAATTATGTAATGTAAACGTTGAATTTCTTTGGGGTTGTTTCAGAATATGCTGGTATTGTTCCGTTCTAAAGTCTACCTATGATTAAAATACCAGATATGGATGTAGTTCGCAGCCAAGGGCACATCCTTTTGGCTTATTGGATGATACGAGTCCATATTTTATATTGGGACAGAGCTGCTTTTTATCATCACAACTTAATTGCAATCTTTTGGAATGTCCGGAATGTCCTGATTGCTGAATTGCAGGATTGGGATTTGGGTTGAAGAAGTACAGATAGCAGGCATGATCAATCTGGTTCTGAAAGATGCTTATTTTTTGGTCCAAAAAAAAAAGATGTTTATTTCCTATTTTCTCACGCTAAGCAGTTTACTTGAATAACCACAAGGCCTAGCAATGGAACTTTGCTGATTTAATTATAATTTTTATGATTGGCAGCTTTTTAGTTGATAAGCATATGTAATATATTCCTATATATGGTGGAGTTAATATGGATTTGTCCATGTTGTAGGCGAGTTCTCAAGCAAAGTGAGATAGATAGATGATTCCTACTATTTGATCAGCACTAAGATTTTCTGCTAGTCGGCGCTGAGCGATGAAGAAGTAGTGGGATCTTAAGAGGAACATTATAGATCTATGATTATTTCCTCATTAAAAAATTTAAATTGTTGCTATTGTTCCCGTACTAAACTCAAAACCTGAGAAGAAGCTCAGTGGCCTCGTTCATGGCTTCGGAAATTGATTCAACTCCAACTCCATCCAACATCTCATCTGCTTTCCTGCCCACGGTTATCCACTCATTTCCCGTCTTACCGTGCCATTTCCATCGCATTATGCTTCCTTCTCCACTATCTTCAGTTTCTGATTCTTTTTTTCCCCCCATTTTTCTTGAAGGTTTGCTTGCACAATTGGTGGTTGGTTAGAGCTGAAACGGACTACCATGGGAGGCTATTAGCTGTTGCAGGCTACCCCTCCAGAAAGTAAGACCCCATTTCATTTTTGGGGATTTCAGGTCCACCTACATTTGATGCCTTTTTTTGCACTAGGCTTTGTCATTACTTCCTTTTACTTGCATTGTGGTCATGGAAACATAAATCAAAGTTATGTGAGGCTAAGTTGACATAAAAATAATAATGTTTCTGACATAGGTTGACTTTAGCAGGCAAGATGCAAAGCGGGTGTTTGTTTCTGCTCCAATAATCAAAAGACATGATTTATCTACCTTAGAGACAGCAGATGGAATTTATCTTATTATTATAGGTTTCATTAATGAGCTGCAAACTAAGGAGAACGGCTTCCCATGTGAGGTTTGTAAAATTCAAAATTTGCTCTTACCTGATAAATACTTTTTACAACATCCCACTGCTTCATAGCATAGTTGCCAGTGCATTGCAGAGTGTTAATCTTAATCGACAGTCATATTTTTCATAAACCATAAAAAATGATTACATTAGTGACAATATGGATATGTTAAAAAAAGAGAGCTGCGTGAATAAGCCTTGGTCTGGAGTACTCCAGCGTTTTACTTGATTTAACAAAGTGAATCCTGTGTTTCTTCAATCCTTAATTTTTATATGTTTCTATCCAATGTTAATGATGTGGGTACACCCTTGTTTGTTTATTATAAGCTTGAGAATGTGAGCTGATAGGGCCACAGAGCCTTTTCTAGGGCAATCTATAACATATTTTGGCGTTCCTTGTGGCAAGCGAAGATTATATATCTTGAAATTTTCTTATTTGCAAATTTAATACTATGAGGGCTATGTATTTATGTTGTTACCATATGCTCTCTGGCCAGGTTTTCAATCATTTTATATTTGGCTTTCCTCCTGACTGGGAGGGCTGTGTTGTTAACTTCTTCAAAGAAGTTGCTACTGGCATTGATTCAGGAAATATCATTACTTCTAATGAAGAGGAACCAACAAGCCCAGTTACACCCATTCAATCACAGGGGGAAATAGATGAGTTGTCAGAACATTCTGTTGGAGGATCTGCATCTAGAAAATCTAGAACTCGGTTGAGAAATACTGAAAATCAATGTAGCGCAAGAAAAGTTGGCCTGGGCCACGCGAGGCCAAAGATGACCATGTCCAACAGAAAAATGAATCGGTCTAAATCAGCTGATCCTAAAAGAAAAATGAAGCCTCTTTCAGCTGACACCACTAGGGGAAGCCTATCTGTAAAGAGGAGTAAAAAGAGAATTAACTTTGATTCACATGTAAGTAGTAGTGTCTTATGTAAACACACGTTTATTTGTGACTGTAGTGTGTATTTTTTGTGTTGCTATGTCTATTTTTTGTCAATTGTATTGGCTTATGACTATCATCCAGCTCGAATGGCTTTATTTGTGATACATCTATTGATTAAAGGGTGCTTCCATGTGTTTGGTTTTTGAAGGAGAAATCATCTGCAGTTTCTCCAGATTTATCCAATTTTAGGAGATCCAGGTCAGGTGAGTATTACCTGTACTCTTTCTTTTTGTATTACCTCATCACTGGGGATGGGTGACGGCATTTTAATTTTCCTGTCAATTTTGGCCTGTATTATTAGTCTATGTGCTTGGGCTTGGCCTGGTGCCCCGTTTATGGAAGATGAAGAATTTCTCAAATACCAAATTGATGGATAAACGAGTACCAGTTTTAGATTATTTTTCTGTTAATGTCAATCGCTTTGTGTGTTGCAGGTAGGCGGCTGCTTCCTCCTCTGGAGTTCTGGCGCAATCAAATGCCTGTTTATGATGCGGTATGTGATTATTTACGTGATTATGCAAACTTTTGCTCAGCTTTTGTCCGTGATCATCTTGCATGGCTTGCATATATCATGCACGTTGAATGTGTCTGATTTTTGTTCATCCCATGATTTGATCATCTCTTAGTTGATCATGGTTCATTTTTAATATCATTCTTATTAATTCCTTTAAATTGTGTCTGATTGTTTCCACCACTGCATTCCAACTGTCGAAATTTTACTTAAATGCCTATGTCGGGTGTGGTTGACGTTATTTTTTTATTGTTATGTATTTCAGGACCACAGCCTAACTGAAATCCTGGATGGAGCACAATCCCAGAAAAGCAAAGGAAGTAATGTGTTGAATGGTGCAGACTATGAAGGTAATTCTTTAACATATGATGCATAACGGCGCAAATCTGCCCGAGGTTAACAAATATTTTGATTTCTGGTTCTTGGAAAAAAGAAAACTCATTATGTATTTAAACTAATAGACGGTATTTCAATGGGAAAAAGACTAAAATCGAACTATTATACGTACTTTGGAAATATGAAATATTTATCTGCTTGTAACAAAACTCTTGAGGTATATATGTTGGTCTTAAATTCTTTAGTGATACAAGAGTACTCATCTAAAGGTATAGCGCCTCATGGTGTTTAGGGCGATTGAAGCGTGCATTGGATGGCTTTCGCCCCCTCCATTATGAAGAATGTCCAAGTGTCGGTGTGGCTGAACAGGATCAGATGTAAAATAGTCGACTCATTATTGTTCCTGTGGCTGTGGTGTAGGTTATGTATCTAGTATTTCGATATTTTGTTTTCATGTGACACTAATTCTGTGAATATGACCTGTATTTATTAGCGATCAACTAGTTCATGCAGTTGTCGAAGCTACTCAACTAAAGAGGGCTCTTCAAGGCAGTTTTTTCTTATATAACTCTCTAAGTGAGTTCTGAATTGCAACTACGTTGATAACTCTCGAATATTTACAATGAGAAGCTTATCGATAGGCGAATGTTGCCCCCAAGTTTGATAGTCGTGTCAATTTATCCACTCTGCTTTTAGAATCCGTTTTTTTTCCCCCTTTTTTATTTGGCTCACTCTGCTTTTAGATATGAAGACTGCGCATTAAACTCATCATTATAATCTAATAATTATTTAATACCCACGCTAAGCTCCATGGGCTAAAAATCCTTTTCAAATTTAGTGAAAAATACAACATTGGTTTTTTGATATAAGAGCTATTAAGAATTTGATTTTATTTTAAATATAAAATTTTAATCTACATTTGTCTTTTAATGTTTATAATTTTTTTACAAACTCCTATTAGCTTAGGTTACATGTGTAATGGATTTGGCAATTGAGTGTAATGCAATATTAATTTTTTCTTCTTACTATCGTAGTCTAATTATACATGTGTGGCACATCATCAATTTTGCCTCATTTATATAAGACAGATAAAAAAGAATTTTTTAACTTAATTATAAGGCATGCTATCTTTTTTTTTATTATGATGAAATATATTAGAATTAGAATTAAAATTAGAAGTAAATTTTGATAGGAGGCGATTGTATAGGATGTCGCTTTTATTTTATAAGAAGCATTTCCAAATATTGCCACGTCACTGATCCGTAGTGACCCGTAAAGTGCAACCATACGATTTGCACAGTGTTAGTTTAGTCGACGGCCCTTAGAGTCCACAACACATCACGCGGATTCCTATTCTTAGCCATCGATGAATATCTAATCCAACGGTCGAAAACAGTCATTTCCGTTTTGGGGACCAAAAAGCACAAACCCTACCGAACAAAACTTCTCTATATAAACCTAGGTGCTCCGCTGGCGGTTCACGGAATATCGAAGACCGAGTCCTCTCAGTGCATCGCTCTCGGGATTTCTGTCACTTCCTCGTTGAAAATGTCGGGCCGTGGAAAGGGAGGCAAGGCAAGGGTTTGGGGAAGGGAGGAGCCAAGAGGCACAGGAAGGTGCTTCGCGATAACATTCAGGGTATTACCAAGCCTGCAATTCGCCGATTGGCTCGTAGAGGTGGAGTTAAGCGTATTAGCGGTCTCATCTATGAGGAGACTCGCGGTGTACTGAAGATTTTCCTTGAGAACGTTATTCGCGATGCGGTGACCTATACCGAGCATGCTAGGAGGAAGACGGTGACCGCCATGGATGTTGTTTACGCGCTGAAGAGGCAGGGTAGGACATTGTACGGTTTCGGTGGTTGATTTCAGTATCGAAGTCGAAGGTTCTTCTTAGGGTTTTTTGTTTAGGGATTGTGTTTGTAAATGTTAAGTTCAATTAGATGTTATTTTCAGCCTTGTAGTTCTCGCAACATCTTGAAATGTATCCTTGGATCCGGTTTTAATGTGATGTTTGGTAGTTTCTCCTATATCAAATCAAATCTTGTCCATTCTTTTTCTTTTATTGTTCAGCTCTGATGGAACTTTCACCGTTACCAATTTTTGACCGGGTATAAAATCTATGGACCCAAATTATAGCGTTGGAGGCGATTTTACTGTTATCCCGGTAATTGTATCGGATTCATAGATAAAATACGTTTAAATGCGGCTGCTTTACTTCATGTAAATGGTACCCGTCATTCACCTCAACTTTGTTGCGATCGATGAACAAAGTATCGCGGAATTGATTGTTATACACGCATTTCATCTGGGGATAGTAGACTTTAAAACTTAACTTAAACTTGAGCCCTTGTGCCCTTTGCTGGCGGTTAATCATCTGATGTCCGAATGTTGTGGGTTGGGTCGGCCCGATGCTGATCTTGTTGGACTTAATGTCCAACCCAATACTACTGTAACATTAATAGCCTTTTATTATCGGTCAATAATGTCTGTTTGGCCCACTCAAATGTGGTGAGGTTTTTAGTTTGGGAGTTGAGTTTAATTTACTAATCAGATGCATGTCTAAAGCTATCCAATTGAAAATTGGAGGAGAAAAACCTGTTCTCTTGCCTCGAGTCCTGCGGCAATGAAAGGATACGGATCGGTGAGGGAAGACGGTTTTACTTGCGCCGACATTAGCAAGAACGAAGATCGAAATCACTTTTTAAGGGTGTAGCTGCATTAAATATACCCCTCATCAGTTTAAATAGGAGGATTATTGACCAATGATTAACTTGTGAATTATGATTTGTTCCTACATTTTAATAAAAAATGCAAAATTGACCATCAAATTTTCCGTTATCTTTGGCCAATTTAATTATCATTAATTTCATTGGTATGTTCACAATTCTTGCACTCTCTTTCGTGTCTCTTCGTTGGGCGGTAAGAATCTTATATCAGATGATTCTGGATATATCTGTGTAGATGAACGAGACCACGAGGGTGTCGTGGTGTAGTTGGTTATCACGTCAGTCTAACACACTGAAGGTCTCCGGTTCGAGTCCGGGCGACGCCACCTTTTGTTTTATTTATTTATTCTTTTCCTACCTCTTATTTTGTTTCCATTTGTTTAGAGTCTTTTGGGCTGCTATATGTACACATAAATATAGTAAAACAAGGAATAGCTGGATTGAGGGTAAGTTGGGTAACTCTGCAGTTGATGTATAATTACTTGGTTTCATCGTTTGGAAATTGCACAGATGATGATTTTTGTTTATCTAGCTAGCCCTCAAGGCTCCAAGTTTTCGTTGTCAAAGCTAATATGCCTTTTAAAGCAAAGGCCCCTTTCAATATATATATATATATATATATATATCACTTTTGGTTCCTTAATTATTATTTTTTCGTTTAATTTTAATCATATGCACTTCTCATGCATCAGCTGGAAAATGAAATCACATTTTATGGTCAACTTCCTTCATTTTGTGCCAGTTGCGGCCCCATTTTGGGTTCATGCACTTCAAACCTCTCATTTCTAAGTGGGGCAAGCTAAATCGATCCCACACGCACACAACACACAAAGCTTGCCTATCTATACCTTATTAAGTATAATCAGCATTGGCAATTAACTTCAGCCTCTTCTTCGCCAATGAAAGAGGAAGAAACGTCAAGAGAGAGACGATTGTTTTGTTGCTTTGCGCTTAAAAGTTAACTGTTCAAGTTTCAACGAAAGCTACAGCCACAAGGATTTGCACAAAAATAGTGAAAGTAGCAAACAGAGCATCTGCTGAATTAATCATATAACGCGGATCAGTAGTTGATAGCTTATATATATCCACTGTGCGCGAACTTCGGAAATAATTGACTTCCACAAATATTACATCCATACCATTTTGGGATTTGCCAACCACTCCCCCTCGTCCTCAATCCTTCCCTTTCAAATTCATCAGACTACATATGGATATTCCCAGACATCATAAGTGAGTCCTACTGTTTGATCTTGCACTATCTAATTCGTGGTCATGAAAATCTCTTTTCTTGTTGCTATTAATAATTATTCTTATATATGTGCTGTCAGAGAAATTAACAGTGGATGAAGCAAGAAGCAACAAGTGATTGGTGTGAATGATCTCAACTTAACTTTCTGGGCTGAAACAAACCCTTCTTTTGTTTGGTTGTTCAGAGTATCCTTTCACCTGAATGGTAAGAGACTAATCTCTTGGAGTATTGTCAGATGCCGTTGCGGGGACCTCTCCCAACGATTTTTTTGCCATACATACTGTCCTAAGAATCGAACCCAGAACATGATATTTAAGATGTCCAAGTCCCTTCTACTTGGATTAAAACTTGTTTCATGAGAGCACCTTTTGAAGATGAATGAATGTCCATAATTTGAAAATGAAAATTCATGAGAGCACCATGCCTGGTTGAGGCTAGATGATGCTTCCGAGACCCAACGAGTTGCTCTCTGTGTATCCCAACAATTCACAAGTGCTCCCACTATTATCTTTGAGAAAAGGGCATTCACAGACACCAACCGCGCACAATGGGCCTCCCCTTTGACCTTCTTTTCACGTTATGTAATTATAATCTTAATTCCATAATCACTAAGCATTCATTTGGGGGGCAGGCAAGCGCACATGCACATGTATGCATGTGTTGAAAAAATTATTGGATATAATCTTATTCTAATAGGATTAAAAAGGAAAGGTTTCAAGTTCTGATAGAGATGAGGCGAAAGTGATGTCGAAGATGAAGGGGCGAAAAGAGAGAGAATTTGGAGCTAAAAGCTTGTGGTAATTCAGGGGAGAGGAATATTAATAGAGATCAATCTTGTTTAGGGGATCGCTTTTTGCTGGCATCTTTGTGACGTGCATGGTGATCGATTCTTGATTTGAGGACCATAGAAATTAGACTAAGAGCATCTGCTTGTGATTTTCTGTACAATGGACTTATGGAATCAGGGTTAAAGCAAGACCAATCATATATGGGAGTTTCCATCTTAAAAGGAGAAAGATGTGAGCTTTAATACTAGCCTTTTAGACTCGAATTGCTGATCAACCGAAGAAAGGAGGATCCTTGAATGATGGTGTAGTACAATAAGTCCATCTCATAATTATTTATTGCCTATGAAATTTTATCATGGAACCTTACTTTAATTTGATGCGTGCGATGAGACCCTCTGGTCAGAAGAACAAAGGATAAAGGGCTCCAATTTAAGTATCAAAGCATTATAATTTGACACGTACGTTTCTCCTCCGAACCAAAACTACTGTTTATCATCTGTGAGGAGTGTGTCTTGTTTAATGATTCCAATCATTTCATGCAACACATACGGTCCAATATTATCCAAGAATTCAAACAAAGTTATATTTGTGATGATCATTTCACGTGATTTTATATTTGTTGTCAACTTTCCTTTTCAAGAAATATTTGCAAATTAAATCCCTGTTTATTAGAGAAAATCGAGTTCACTTACAAATAGGTAAATTAATTGTCTTAAGTAGCTTTTATAATTGTCAAATAATGTTATTACAGCATCAGATAAAAATATTAACAGAGAAGTAGTGAAGGGAGAAGAGTTACTACGTTACTATAGGACGCAGATCCATGAAGGAAGTGGAGTATTATTCAAACTCAAGGAACGAGTAAAACTCACAGATTATAGTTGTTCTA